GGCCCCCGGCCACTCGCCCGCTCCTCGCCGCGCCACCGCCGGCTCCCCGGGCGGCCCCTGGCGCCTCAGACGCGGGCTTCCCCCCGGCGCCAGCCTGCTCCGGTCCGCGGTGTCCTCCCGAGCTCCGCTGCCCGCGACGTTCATTGGTTCCGATTATTTAAAAAAAAAAAAGTGGGGGAGCAGTGAGGTACCGCGTCTCCCGGCCGGCGTGACGCCCGCGCAGCTACCGCGGCGAGACCGAGATCCGCTGCTCTGGCGCTGCCAAGCCCCAGCCCAGCGCCCGCGCCGCCGCGGCGCATCCCCCCGCCCCCTCCGGCCCGCGCTCGCCGTAGTACCAAGCTCGGCCCGGACGCGGCCCTCCCCTCACACATTCGCTCAGCTACCAGTCCCCCGCCTCCCTCAGCCCCGCCAAGGCGCAGGCGCGGCAAGGTGGCACTGCGCGTGCGCGGCGCTCAGGCTCCGCCCCCGGAGGCGTTCCCGGGCAAAAGGGCGGGACGTAGGAGAGTTGCTAAGGCGGTGACTGGAAAGCCCGGCGTGAGTAGGGAATGCGCCCCGCCCCCGCCGTGTTTGGGTGAGGGGCGGCCACCGAGGGGATCGGGAGAGAAACTGTGGACTTTACCATGTCCTTTGAGGGAGTTGGCAGCCGAAAGATAATTGCTCGAGTCAGAAAAGCCTTGCAGCGGAGTCCCCTAACTTGGGTGTAGGTGGAGCTTACCAGTGACCCGCTGTGTAGAAGTGGAGGGTAGCCTAGTCCAGCGTTTTATTTACTTGTCAAACATTTGACAAAGGTCTTGTTCTGTGCCAGTGTGCAAGGAAGTGCTCTAAACGCTTTACGGAGTTACACATTGTAACTCATCTTTCTCATCGCCATTTTGCAAAAGAGTCTAAAGCCCTGAATGTTTTATAGCTTGATCCAGGGTCCCACAGCTAATAAATGAACAATGGCCAGATTTACCCTGCACTGATTAGAAATGTAGAAGAATTTGCCCTAGCTTTTTATTCTTCTAGATGCAAACATTACCTGCAGTCATCACCACTCGGTTCCGCGTCCCACCCCCACTCACAGAGTCTGTCAGCTGAATAGGTTGCTACAATACAGCATAAACTTGACCACTTTGCCTCCCAGGAATGAAGCAGTTTTGTGAACTCAAAATGTGCATTCTCTTATAGATGCTGTTCGAAACAGGTTTAATTGGTTTAACAGAAAAGAGCCAGAATCTATCTCCTACAGGAAGTTGTCAATGCTTGTTTGAGAATATTTTGTTGGTGGTGGGTTTTGTTTTTATTATGGTGGGGGTGCACAGTATGGGACCCCTATGAATACGCTCTACCACTGAGCAATACCTCCATCACCACCCCCAATCAACATGTTTTCAGGAAACCTTTGAAATTTAAAAGGAGGTGCTGAATACAGTAAGACCCTATCACCTGAGAGATAGAGGAGAGAGAGAGAGAGAGAGAGAGAGAGAGAGAGAGAGAGAGAGATCTTGTAGCTAGGGTTGTTAAGACTAGGGTAGCTAGTCTTCTGGCTGTTGGGTTTTGATGTTGGATGTTGCTATTGACTTTGGGTTTATTATTATTATTATTGGTTTGTTTCAGAAATCAAGAAGACATTCAGATTAAAAAAAAAATCTCCTAAAGAATTTCTTAGGTAATTTGACCAAAATAATCTTGGGTATCATTCACTGAGGCGGATGCACAGTACAGAAAAGAACAAAGAATAGCACTGAGGCTAATCAACCCAACAATTATTTGAGAGACTTCTTGGTGGTATTGTGTTCAGAGGCCATTCCTTACAGGACAACAGGAAGATTATATTTTGCTTGCTGAAAGGCACAGCAATGAAGTCATATGTTTGCTTAGTAGACAGTACTCCTAGGGCACCAGGAGCTCATCAAATAAACAGGCTGGTTTTCCTGATCTCCAGGAGGCATCATTTAATTCCTCAACATTTGCTAAACATCTAAATTTGTGCCAGGCAAGGTATTAGATGGTGGGGATTCAGCAGACTAAGAAAAACACCTGAAAAATCAACTAAGTGAGCACTTAAGAGTATGAGATAGCTGAGCTGGTGAGATGGTTCAATGGGTAAAAGTGCTTGTTGCCACACCCAACAACCTGAGTTCAAGCCCCGGAACCCACATGGCAGGAAAAAAGAGAACTCCCTGCAAGTAGTCCTCTGACCTCCACACATGCACTGTGGTACTCATGCCCACACACAGGTAGTAAAATGCAATAAAAATAAACAACAAAAAAAAATGATAGCTTTACTTCCTGGGGACCCCCTGCCATCCTGCTTAGGAGATAAAACACATGCCCTTTAAATAATTAGAGGCTAATACAAAGCAGAAATGAGTAACTAAATGGGTAATGCAAATACCCACTGTTATAGAAATAACAATATATAACCAGGAACAAATTAACAAATCACTGGTGTCTAGCTTCTTCAACAAAGATGATGTACCATTTCAAGATAGGGAGGGTGCAGGCACTGAAAAGATACTGAATTCAGAGTTGTGTTTATTTCTCACAACTACAGCCACAGATAGGGAACCAGCAATCACTGTAGAGCCCTCTCTCAGACCCAGACAGGCCAGGATAAATCCTCCACCTTACATCATCTTCCTCTTGGGTGCCTAGGGTTCTAGCTGTTAAAGTGAGACTGTTGCTCAGAGTGTGCCTGTGCACCCTAGCACAGACCTAGGTGACAGGCGAGAGCACCCACGTTCACTATTGGGGGGGGGATCCCATCCCTACAATTAACAGATATTTCCACTTGCAAGCCACGCATTAACACCAGGCTCCAGCGGTGTGAATCGCTTTCCGGCCTTCCCAGTCTCCCTTCCCTTTCCCTGGCAGCTCAAATCGTCCTTACCCTCTTACCAAATCCCATTCAAATTCTACCCTGGAACTCCTTTGTCTTGATGACTACCCTAGCACAGCCTCCTCCTCTTAATGTCTAAACCTCAGGACTGGCCATTTATTTACAGAATGTCTGCATTGTCTCATTTTCACCTAGTCATGACTTCAGTCATCTGATGGGCAACCTTGAACTTTGTTATCAGACAAACCTGGTAGAAACCGCCAAGTCCACCACTTTTCAGTGTGACCTGTAAGCAAGTTAAAGCCGCCCTCATTTTCTCCACACGGAAATTAGGGCCCCAATTATGCCTGCACCACAGTGAGGGGAAAAAAAAAAAAAAAAAAAACAGTAATAAGGAAAGCCTTTGCTGGGTGCCTGGAACCCAGGTACTTTGTCATCCATACTTCGAGACTCTGGCCCCAGGCTCTCTTAGCGATAACTCTAGACGTTCTCTTGGGTTAGGATTAACACATTGCAGATTGCAGATGCTGTTCATCTTTCTGCAAACGATCCCAAACTCTGGGGGCACGCTCAGCACAGATGCATGGCACCGGCTCCTCCCCATCCCAGGGCAAACCTCCCCATCCTCTCCTTTCGCTCCCTGGCAGCCGCCAAAGCCTCCCCCATGCTGCCCGCACAGACTAGAAGAACCGGATCTCCGTGGGCCAGCGCCACCGGGCACCTGTGCCACCCCCCAGCTCCGCGCATGCCCACCGCCTCCCGCAGCGGGCCACATCTCCCGCACTAGGCGCCGAGGTTCCGTGGGCGGACCTTCTACCGAAGCGCCACACTTGGGCGATGACGTCACCGCGTGGGCGGGTGCGTTGGCCCCGGGAGGGGAGCGCTGTGGGCGTGAGGCGGTAGCCCTGGGGAATTCCAGCTGAGGTCCTGTCTGCCCACAGCTTCCCCTCCCGGCCTTTGACCCCTGGGACCGAGGGCTTCTAGAACACCAGGAGCGTGATGGGCAAGTCCCCTTTGCTTGCCCTTCTTGGTTAAGGCCCTGGGGAAATGCAAAGACCATCCTCTTTGGTGGAAATCCTGTTGTGTTTTGAGCCACTTTATCTTTTTTTCCCAGTGATTCCTTACTTGGTAGCTTGCTAGGAAATTGAGGTCCTAAGAATTTTTACATCTTCAAAGTCATACAGCTAATATCGTTTCAAGATTGGAGCAATCAAAGCTTCAGTGTATGAATATGGTCTTCAAGTTGTAGAGTACGTTAAAACAGTAAGGAAAAAAAAAAAGTGGACTGGAAGGGGCTCACTAGCAAGACACTTGCCCGCTAAACACAGCAGCACGGGCTGTTCCTCACCTAGCTGAAGGTGAGAAACCTCATTGCATCTTTCTCTAGAAGTGAAGAAAGAAAGTCTTTTTAATCCTAAAGCCAAGGCAGGAAATCAAAGCTACTTCTGAATTTTTAATTTACCAATACAGTTTTTTTAAACCATTCCATACAGCAAAAATAAGTCAGATTTGCTCAACAAAGCCAAGTGACTCTGTGACTTTATGAGGCCATTTCTGTGATTAATCAAAATATATTTGCTGATACTCCTTAGTTTGAAGTATTACATGAGTATTGTTGAGTATCTGATAAGTGCTGATGCAGTAGGAGCAGTGTTGACATTTCCTGTGCCAGTGGAGCTCTGATGGAGATAACAATATCACAATGGAAAAGGATCAGAGATTCATGATGGTCAGGCATGGAATCCCAGCTCTCCAGAAGATAGGGGTTGGGGGGGCACAATTATGCAGCAGATAATGAATGCATGACATACACATGTATTTGAGAGGAAGAGACTGAAAAGTAACTGGTAAGATGGAGCAATATTTTAGTATGATGCAAGAACCCATATTTCTAGAGACAGGTGATGACATCACCTGTAATCCAACATTTGGGAGGTAGAAAGGAGAGGATAAGGAGTTCAAGGCCAGCTTGGGTGGCATGAAACTATCTTTAAAAAGAAAAAAAAAAAAAAAAAAAAAAAAAAAGGGGTTTGGGAGAGGGTCCGCAAATAAAAACAACGGGCGCTCTTTCACAAGAACCACACTCCCCCACCCCCACACG